GAACTAGAATGTAAGTTTTACAAAAGCAGGAACTATGACCATCTTGTTCACTTCTGAATTTCAGCCTGTTACACAGTGTCTGGCACATTATGAGCACTTGATCAAATTGCTGGTGCTCAATAGTTGTTGAATGAGAAATGAAATAACACAGAGTACCAAATACGTGTGTGCTTGACCGAGTGTACCAATTCTTTCCCAAGTTGAATGTGAACTCTTTGGGAATCATGCCGTTCTGTTCCATCCTTCTGTTTCTCTCTCTCTCTGTTAATATGGCTCTCTCCTATCTTACCAAATGCCGTCCTGAAAGTTGAGTGTTACATCTTGAATACTTCAACATCAAAGCCAGATAAGAAAATACACTCTTTAATATTTACTAAACAGAAACCCCAAACCTCATATTTTGAATTAATCTCATTGGAGTTGATTTCTATAGGGAAGAATTCCCTTCTTTGGTTAATACACACCATTCTTCTAATGTTTTTAAACAAAGTAGCATTGCTGCTTGGGAGCGAGGACGGCTTCTGTACTTTGGACATGTTATCAGGAAGGACCAGTCCCCAGAGAAAGGACACCATGCTTGGTAAAGTAGGGGGTCAGCAAAAAGAAAAAGCCCCTCAATGAGGTAGATTGGCACAGTGACTGCAGCAATGGGACCAAACATAGCAATGACCGTGAGGCCGGTGCAGGACCGGGCAGTCTTTCCTTCTGTTGTACAGAGGGTTATTATAAGTCGGAACTGACTCAGTGGCACCTAACAACAATATTGCTCTATCTCCATGGCCTAAATTGAAATTTCTTTGGCAACTAATAACCTCTCCTTGTTTTAATGACCATTATTTTTTTCAAAGAAGATAGACAGTTGTATTAAGCTTTGTTTTCTTTACATGAACAAGCACATACTTGTTTTAGGAATATGGGAGAAAGGATATTTGCTAATATAATGGCAAATGCAGAACCTACAGACAAAAGTATATAATTTGTAAAATAGCTGAGTGGGCAAAATTCTGATTTTCAGTTATCTTAGGCACTTCAGTGCACTTCTGATAATGATTTTCCTTGGGCATGTAGTTACACTGCTAGAAATCACATCCATGCATAAAGAGTGAGCTTAATTATACATAACTACATACCTAAAATGAGGCCTTATTATTTTTACAAATACTTTCCTGTTTACAAAATGAGATGCTAAATTTTGTTTTCAGAAGGTAGCGTGTATCACCCTCAGAGCACAATAGTCTTCTCGTGTGAATTGTCAATTGTCCATTTGCCATAAAAGCACTATCTCTTGCCTTCCCCTTTCTTCCTTTTGGGAATTGTTTTCATTACCTGGTGAGTGCAGGGCTGGTAAGAGATTTGTACTGAATCCTCCACAGTCTCCTCTCGTCTCAGCTCTGAATCCAAGGACAGGCAAATGGATAAAAGCTGATTTAGAATTTTTGGATGAAGTTGGTGGCAGAACAAAATTAACCGGTCCTGGTGAAAATGAAAGGAGCCCTGGTAGCAAAGTGGTTAAGCTCTTGGTTGCTAACTGAAAGCTCAGTAGTTCCAACCCACCAGCCGCTCTGCAAGAGAAAGATGTGGCATCTGCTTCCACAAAAGATTACACCCCGAGAAACCCTATGGGGCTGCTGCTGCTGCTGTGTGCCATCAAGTCGGCCCCGACTCATAGCGACGCCTCCTTGGGTTTCCGAGGCAGTATCACTACGGAAGTAGATTGCCCCATCATCCTTCTGAGGAGTGGCTGGTGGGTTTAAACTGCCAGCCTTCTGATTAGCAGTCAAGTGCCTTAGGCACTACACTACCAGAGGCAGTTCTACTTTATCCTGTAGGGGTGCTTTGAGTCGCAATCAACTCAACAACATGTTTTGTAATGAGAATGACACATCTTTACATCCTCAACTCATCTGTATTGAGCCCAGTTATTTAAATTCAAACTAATTATAAGACCAGCCAATATGATTTGAGTGGTAATTAATGTGTGCCCCAGGCACTGTGCTAAATGCTTTACATGTATTATTTTATTTAATCTTCAGAATCATGTGAGATAGGAATCAAAGTCCTATTTTACAGATGGGAAACTATGGAACAGAAAGGTTTGTTAACATGCCAAAGCAAACCAGTTGCTATGGAGCTGACTCCAACTCATGGCAACTCTGTATGTGTCAGAATAGAACTGCTCTTCTTAGGGTTTCCAGTACTGGTTTTTGGAGGTAGATGCCAGGCCTTTCATCCGAGGTACCTCTGGGTTTTCTCTAACCTTTAAGCGTTTGGTTAGCTGCTGAGTGTGTTAACAGTTTGCACCACCCAGGGACTTCTAATCTGTGAAAGGCCCCAGTTAACAAATTAACTGGGCTCTCAGTTAACAAATTGAGGATTCAAACCCAGGCAGTCAGAGCCTTCACTTCTAGGTACTCTGTTATACAGCACTCCTGGTACATCTTGGGCTTGACGCAGGGTTCCTTTGTAAATGTTTCAGGATTAAACTCAATGAAAACACACGCTCTAACCTCTACATGGCTGAGGTGAATGGAAGAGTCTCAGTGAAGGTCAGACACTGCATAGGAGGTAGAGGCTCTCCACCAGGAAGGAGATGGGAAAGGCAAGGTCCATCTCCTTCTCCCCTGGCATTTGTTAAATGGTTGTGAGAGGAAGTGGAGGAAGGGACATCTCTAAGCAGGTTTCCAAAGGAAGTCAGGTCGATCTTTGTGCATTTTCTCGCTGGTTCTGTGCCTGTTTTTCCCAAGGGCCCATAACTGCTACATTCTTCTTAGAACTGATCTCTCTTGAGAAAACTATTTCTCCAGAGCTCAACTCTCCACAATTCTGCACTCCTGAGTGTAATTGATTTCAGCTGCGTGTTAGATAGTGGTAGGCTGACATGAATGGCCAATAAGGTGAGAATAAGTCCTCCCCTACGCCCAATTCCCTAATCTTCCCAGGAACACAGCAATATCTGCATTCCTGAAAGAAGTGGTTTTAATGCAAATGAGTCCTCAAGTGAGGGAGACATTTCTGAACTGTGGAGGGGTATTGATGGATTCTGCCAGAAATTGCGGAGGCTTAGCCACCTGTGTCCTAGGAATTGGTTGTGGTGATCTGTGGGAGCTCTCAGGACTTCACAACAGCTCCTGGGCTGCTTGGTCTCGGGTGTTCTCTCAACTCCAGTGGGGCCCAGAAAGAACTCCAACCTCTGCCCATCGTTTGCTGCTGACAGAATACAGTCATGCACACACAACTTAAGATGTGCAGAAGTAACATTTTCTGGGAATATTAACTCAAAATAATGTGTTTGCAGATGGCTGTTAGAATCCTCATGAGTTAAATTCATGTTTCAGGAACTAGAGCTTCATATCTGTAGGTGGCATTTTTGGGAATCATTTTGTGGACCTCCAATCCTGTAACCCTTCCCATCACCCAGAAGCAGCATGCTGCTCCAAGTTATGCCTGAAGTCTTAGCCTACTTTTGGTGATAAAAAAACACCTCTGGTATTTCTCACAGATGTTAGCCATGGTTACTACATTGCTCCTCAATAATTGGAAAAAGGGCACAGAGGCAGTGTCTGACCTCCTCCACCTTTACAAGTGGGGAGAGAATCAACATCGACATCAGCAGCCCAAGGCTGATTCCTATGAGGTCAGACATGCTGCCACTCTCCAACTTTTTTGCCAGCTCTGACACCAACTCCCCCTCCCACTGTACTTCTCTACTTCTCTGCTGGATTTGGTAATTCTTGGCAGTGGCCACATGAAACTCACAGGTAATGCTCATGACAATGTGGTTTATTAGGGAAATAACAGGTTACAATTCAGGATCAGAAAACCACTCAGGATAAAGTTCTGTCAGGAGAGCTTCTTCTCAGCTGTGTTGCAGTCATGCTTCTCTCTGGCCTTGGTGTCTGCCCTGCTTGGGCCAGTCTTGCAAAACTCTTTTAGCTTTGCAAATAGGTGACCAAAGAGGCACCCCACTTCATCAGCAAGCCTTCTGCCTGAAGGCACTCAGCTTCCTTGCTCCGTGGGCCAGGAAGTCCACCACTCTCTCTCATGCTGGTCTCTTGATTCTGCTGCCTCTACTGCTGTGGTTTCTCTGTTGCCATCTCTCTGCTGTCTCAGCACAGGGAGCTCAGGCCCAAGGATGTGCTCCACTCCTGGCTCGTCTCTCTTGATGGCAATGAGATCCCCACTTTCTGCCTATGGGATGGCTCATCTTAAGCCTAGCAGAATGGCAAAACTGACCAATCCCCGCGTTAGGGTTCCATACATCTTATTTGCACAGTTCCACGCACACAAAGGTGCCATGTACCTTTTTTACATCATTAATAATAACATTATTGTTATTAACAAGCGATCCAGTCCCCTTGCTGGGCCACAGGCCCCTCCCTTTTGCACCACCCGCCTAGTTAGTCACATAGTGGGGATCACAAAGACCGTGGCTAGAAGAGCCATGTTAAGCAATCTGCTGTGCACAATAATCACACCTCTAATTAAACAAAACATACTGTCTGGTCGTTTTCTTACTGAAGCATAGGCTTCTGTTCAAAATTGTGCTATAATATTCAGCATGCCATTAGGAAATGGTTCTATTCAATGATAGTTAGAATTTGCAGTTGAGTCATGGGAAGAATTTGTTAGGACATATTTAAATCGAGTCTAAGTAGTGTCATAGAAATAAAAAGATCAGACTGGATTTAAGACAGCAACCTATAAGGTCCTGACTGAGGTCATGGCCAGGGATACTCTTCCACTCCCTGCCACTCTCTTGTCTTCTTGTTTGCTTTTCTTTTTTATGTCACTAATAAGGCCATACAATGCATGCTATCAGTGCCTTTTGAGGAAAACAATTAGCCTGCTCTGAAAACACTGTCCTACTTGATCGCATGACCTCAAAACTACCACCCAGATCCCTCCATGACAAGAGAGACATTTTTAAATTAAACTAATCCAAGGGCAACCCACAGTTGGTTGGTTTTCATTTTCTATGATTTATTTCATCTTCATTACAGCCACTTGGAGCCAGTGACTATTTGGAACTATCAAGGAATTTTGATACAGTATTTTTACGAAACATTCCACAATTTACCCTGGCAAAGAGGACACAAGCTCGCAGATTCATAACTCTCATTGATAACTTCTATGATCTCAAGGTAAGGATGTAGTACATATCCCCAAAACAATGCTTTGGACTCTGGAGCCAGATTGCCTTGGCTAGAATCTGGCTCTACCATTTACTTCACCTATCTGTGCCTCAGTTTCCTCATCTGTAAGCTAGGGATGATTGTAGTATTTACTTCAAAGGGTTTTTGTCAGGACTAAATAAGCTGATCTTTGTAAAGCATTTATAACAATAACTGGCACAAGCTGAATGCTGTATTTTGTTCTTAGGTGCCATGAAGTCAGCTCCGACTCACATGTACAAGAGAATGAAACACTACCTGGTCCTGTGCTATCCTCAGAAACATTGCCATACTTGAGCCCATCTTCACAGCCAGTATATCAATCCATCTTTATGAAGATCTTCCCCTTTCTCGCTGACCCTCTACTTTACCAAGCCTAATATCTTCCGGGTATTGGTCCCTTCTACCAACATGGCAAAAATAGGAGAGACGAAGTCTAGACATTCTTGCTTCTAAGGAGCATTCCAGCTATACTTTATAATAGTACTTACATAGCATTACCACCACTTATCTGTCATTTTGTAGGACTGTGCAAAGACCTGGAGTTAGAAAATCAAGAGAGAAGAACATGTTCATCATTTCTCAAACTGGAAGAACTGAAGAAAAAATTCAAGCCTCGAGTTGGAAAACTAAAAGATTCTCTGGGCAAAATATTGAACAATGCCAGAAGCATCAAAAGAATATAGAAGGAATATACAGAGTCACTGTACCAAAAAGACTTGGTTGATGTTCAGCCATTTCAGGAGGTAGCAGATGATCAAGAACCAATAGTTTCGAGGGAAGAAATCCAAGCTGCACTCAAGGCATTGGTGAAAAACAAGTCTCCAGGAATTACCCACTAAGATGTTTCAACAAACCGATATAGTACTAGAGGTCCTCACTCATTTATGCCAAGAAATTTGGAAGACCTGGCCATCTGTTCTGGTTACCTAGTGCCACTCTGACAAGAATATGCCACAAATGGGATGGCTTTAACACACAGGAGTTTATTCTTACAATTTGGAGGTTTTAAGTCCAAGTTCAAAGTGCCAGGCTCTAGGGGCTGGGTGAAAGCCCCTCAACCTTGGGGTCCAACTCTGCCTCCTGCTCCCGGCCCACTGGAACTAGAGGCATTTCTTCACTCAGACAGCTGCAGGCTGCTGAGGCTGAGAAACTCTGAGGTTGACAAGTAAAAAGGCACAGTCCCAATGTTACCAAACTACACGGCAGGCCATTAACTTAAGCCATTGTATGTCCCAAGGTCGGCAGAGCGTGGCAGGCTGCTAAGCAACGACACCAGTACATGCAGGGTCCAAATGTGCCATAGGCTAGAGACCATTCTCAAAGCTTCTCCTTATATACAGGAAGCAGATCACATACCCAAAGGCAGCTACTCAGCTGCTTGTGGTAGCTCCCACAATGGAGCTGATTGCCAGTCTCATCATGGGGAATAACTACTACCAGCTGCCCAGCCATTCAACCAGGCCCAGCCAAGTTGACATACAAACATAATTACTACACACCAACCGACTGGAAGAGACCCATATTTGTGCCCATTCAAAAGAAAGATGATCCAACATAATGAGGAAATTATTGAACAATATCATTATCACATGCAAATAAAATTTTGCTGAAGATCATTCAAAAAAGGTTGCAGCAATATATTGACAGGAAACTGCCAGATTCAGAAGAGGACATGGAATGAGGAATATCATTACTGATGTCAGATGGATTTTGGCTGAAAGCAAAGAATACCAGGAAGATGTTTCCCTGTGTTTTATTGACTATGCAAAGGCATTCAACTGTGTGGATCATAACATGTATGGATAATATTGCAAAGAACACTTAATTGTGCTCATGAGGAACGTGTACATAGACAAAGGCTGTCATTCGAAGAGAACAAGGGGATACTGCATGGTTTAAAATCAGGAAGGATGTGCTTCAAGGTTGTTTCCCTTCACCATACTTATTTAATCTGTGTGCTGAGCATATAATCTGAGAAGCTGGACTATATGAAGAGGAACGAGGCATCAGGATTGGAGGAAGGCTTATTAATAACCTGTGGTAATGCAGATGACACAACCTTGCTTGCTGAAAGTGAAGATGACTTGAAGCAGTTACTGATAAGATCAAACCTACAGTCTTCAGTATGGATCATACCTCAACATAAAGAAAACAAAAATCCTTACAACTGGACCAATAAGCAGCTTCATGATAAATGGAGAAAAGATTGAAGTTGTCAGGGATTTAATTTTACTTGGATCTACAATCAACACCCATGGAAGCAGCAGTCAAGAAATCAGATACGGTATTGCACTGGGAAATCTGCTGCGAAAGACTTCTATAAAGTGTTAAGAAGCAAAGATGTCACTTTGAAGACTAAGGTGTACCTAACCCAACCTATATTTTCAGTAGCCTCATACGCATGTGAAAGCTAGACAATTAATAAGGAAGACCGAGGAAGAGTTGATGCCTTTGAATTGTGGTGTTGGGGAAGAATACTGAAAATACCATGGGCTGCCAGAAGAACAAACAAATATGTCCTGGAAGAAGTGCAGCCAGAATGCTCCTTGGAAGCAAGAATGTCCAGACTTCATCTCACCTACTTCAGTCATGTCATGAAGCAAGAATGTCCAGACTTCATCTCACCTACTTCGGTCATGTCGTCCCTGGAGAAGGATATCATCCTTGGTAAAGTAGTGTTAGCAAAAGAGGGGAGGCCCTCAATGAGATGGACTGACACACTGGCTGTAACAATGGGCTCAAGCACAGCAAGGTTGTGAGGCTAGTGCAGGGCCATGCAGTGTTTCGTTCTGTCGGACACAAGAGTTGCTATGAATTGGAGCACTCTGTTTTCAAAGGACTAGAGCTTCAAGAAGAAAATGGCACATGGGCATTAATAGGTGGTTCTTAGATAAATGGTGCCTGGCTGGAAAGGGATCAGTGTAGGAGATTCTGGACACAGTGGGAGAACAATGTGGAACAAAACTCAAAATCATAAAAAAAGACCAGGGTTACTGCTCTGATAGGGACTGGTGGAACCCCCAAGACTATGGCCCCTAGTCATGCTTTGGGCTTGGAAATGAATTCATTTCAGGTGGCTTCCAGCCAAACAATAGACAGGCATATAAGGTGGACATTCTAAGGAACCTTATGGCTGTACACCAGGTAGGTGCACTCCTTAGAACAATCAACTATGGGAGATCAGAAGGGCAGTATTTTCATAGGGAGAAAGCTCAGAAGGCAGGAAAGCACAGGAAGGAAGGACACAGGGAAAAGTAGCCACAGGGAGGAAGTGGTAAGAGGGCTGTTACATTGTGGGGATTGCAGTTAATGCCATAAAACAAAATGTGTATGAACTGCTGTGTGGAATATGAATTTGCTCTGTGAACTTTCAATGAAATCTCTTTCTCGCACACACACATAAGGTGGTTCTTAGAGTAAATAATTGATAACATTTTTTTTTTCCAATTTCATCTAGGAATACCATAAAGAAACCTTTTGACTCCCATCCCTCAGTCCTATACCTCATCTGTTAATTAAAGGGAAAAAAGATTTATCTGGCAATAGGATGGAATACTTGAACCACTTTCCTTATATTTGCTTTAACTAAATCACACATTAAGAGTTTATAATCTTATAAAAGCTAGTTAAAATTGTCTGTTTTAGAAATCAAGAACATTAAACAGACATTATTCTGGAATGTGCTCATGGAAATTTGTGAAATAATAGGTATTCCCATCATTTGTGATTAAAAGAGCTTCTAAGAGGAGGTATCAGTGTTGCAGGAAGTACAGCCGTAGGTTTCTTAGAAGCAAAGATGGTGAGCCTTCATCTCACTTACTTTGGACATGACATCAGGAAGGAGGAACCTCTGGAGAAGGACATTGTGATAGTTGAAGATGTGTCAACTTGGCTGGACTCCAGTTGTGAGTGGTGGTTCCCATGATGTATCACATGACTGAGTTCTAAGCGGCCGGTCTGCCTAAGGGGAGTTTCCCCAGGGGTGTGGCCTACCTGCAATGCTATCCCAGGGACAAGCTGGAAGAA